CTCCCAAACCCCCCACCGGCGGCCAAGCGGTGACAGCTCAGCTCATCTTCGAGAGCATTTGAGCTGCTGGTAAGAGAAATAGTAAAGCACACAGCCCGACCCTCTCTGAGACGTAACATCCACCTCAGAGTGTCCATTCCTTGAGAAGCAGCGTGCACCCCTCCAGGAAATCTCACTGAAAAAAGCGAGCTGGAATGAAAATAGAAAATTGCTGAGGCAGCTACGCAACAAGTTTGTCGAAGCAGTGACCTGTCAGAGGAGATGCGTCCATCGATATACGATCAGAGGTACTAGGATGTAGTTAACCAACCACTACGCTTGTCATTGTCTAATTAACTGTCTCAAAGAAAAACGTGACAAAGTAGCATGAGGTGACACACAGCAGCCACTGCATATGTTTTAGCGTACTCTACTTGCTCAGCTCGCGACTAGCCTTTGTACACAGAAAAGATAGTTTATGTCTAGTAACCGCCTTGTTGCGCTTCCGCAGAACGACGTCCACACTGTTTGGAAGAAGTCACGGTATGAAACACGCAGTTGGTTTCCATGTGAACATCTTGTTATTTTTTCACCTCCATTCAGGGTCTTTGCCTAGTTGGGCAGCAGGGTCTTCGCCAGCCTGGTCTGGGTCTAGCGCGTCGACCCGAAGCAGATCTGGATGTTGTTCCTCACCCAGTCTTCCCATCCATTGGACAACACCTGTCTCTGGTCATCATCGGCGACGATGAAGAAGTGGTCGTCAACAATGCCAAGGTTCCCTGGCATGATGGCTGGGCAAAGAGGCAAACCTACGAGCCAGTGGGCTGCAGACGTCCATGCGCAGATGACAAGGCAGCACAACAGTCTGGCTTTTTCTCCCTGCGTCCGCACAACACTGAATAGGTCCACCATACACTGTTCGCAAACATAACCCACGCTGAATAGGTCCTCAGGTAATACCACCACTCATTCCTCTCTGAGGCGACACGCCGTCTTGTCGGACACTCTTGCGCGACACTCTTGTAGGTCATCCCCAGCTACTCCGCGTACTACAGTCGTACCACAAAGTCACCAGTTCTCCTCTTCCAGCTCCCCAGCTATTCCGCGTCCTACAGTTGTACTCCTACTGAAGTTGTACTACGACGTCCCCAGTTCTTATCTTCCAGCTCCCCAGGTCCTCCACATCTAAAGTTCTACTACGAAGTCGCCAGTTCTCATCTTCCAGCTCCCCAGCTACTCCGTGCGTACTACAATTGTACTACAAAGTCGCCAGTACTCCTCTTCCAGCTCCCCAGATACTCGGCGTGCTAAAGCTGCACTACAAAGTCGCCAGTTCTCATCTTCCAGCTCCCCACATACTCCCCGTACCAAAGTCGTACTACAAAGTCGCCAGTTCTCATCTTCCTCATCTTGCAGCTCCCCCGATACTCTGCGTACTCAAGTTGTACTACAAAGTCGCCAGTTCTCAGCTTCCAGCTCCACAGACTGCTCCGCGCACTAAAGTTGCACATCGCCAGTTCTCATCTTCCAGCTCCCCAAATCGCACTCTCGCCTGCACTCGACACGCAGGATCTCCGCAGAGGGTTGCGCGCGGACCGGACAAATCGCACTCTCGCCTGCATTTCGCGCACTCGACACGCGCGATCTCCGCAGAGGGTTGCGCGCGGACCGGACAAATCGCACTCTCGCCTGCATTTCCCGCGCTCAACACGCACGATCTCCGAAGAGGGTTGCGCGCGGACCGGACAAATCGCACTCTCGCCTGCATTTCGCGCACTCGACACGCACGATCTCTGCAGAAGGTTGCGCGCACACCGGACAAATCGCACTATCCCCTGCATTTCGCGCACTCGACCCGCGCGACCTCCGCAGAGGGTTGCGCGCGGACCGGACAAATCGCACTCTCGCCTG